ATATATATATATATATATATATATATATATATATATATATATATATATATATATATATATATATATATATATATATATATATATATATATATATATATATATATATATATATATATATATATATATATATATATATATATATATATATAAGGCATGTTTTTAGCTGAACTTTTGCACCAGTTCATTTTTTTCTCTCCAGGAAAAAAGAAGAGAAACAAAGATAAACTATAAAAGTTCAGCTAAAAAGAACAAGCCTATATGCAAATATAAAATTTTTGGATGTGATATTTGATTCGTATTTTAACAAATCGAATTAAATTAACTTGAATTCTGATAACCGATGAAACTTATAGGTAATAATTATTTAGCGATTATTTTAAATTATTTGAATTTTTGTACTCAATTTTTTTTTATTCTCGAATCTTATTTAAATTGTGCTTAAAAAAGACTAGGTTTAATTTAAAATATAATAGAGGCATAAGATTTTCACGTACATTTTCGAAGTTTAAATACGATTTGAAATAATATCAATACGTTTCGAAACGTATCTAAGAAAAAAACAATATTAAAATTAAAACAATAAGAAAATTGAATCACCGATGATTTTATATAGCAATCTGATGGGCGTTTTGCGCTTATAACATTTATAAGCATCATTTGTTCTTATAATATTTCACAATGAATTGATGCTTTCAGTGTGAAAACGGAATATACCCGATATATAAGCAAATTAATCCAATTCCTCGCCAGTGAAAGATTTCCACGGCTGGAGATATGTGCTTAATTGTGTCATTTTATTGCTTTGGAAGGGAGGTCTGAGGAAATTCGAATGACTTTAGATAACGGAGGACATTCAAATGGGAAATTCAAATGTACCCAAGAGAGATATGTTAAATCTGGGCAACTTTTTTTTGAAAACGATAAAATAATCAGGTGTAAAGTGTCATGTCAGATAAAAGTAATCAGGTGTAATATTGGGTCATCTAAAAAGTATCCGCGGTATTTTGTCACTAGATATATGACCATCAACACACATCTAATGACAAAAAACCGCGGATACTTTTTAGATGACCCAATATAGAGAATTTGAATGGGGCTACATCAATTTTTTTTTCTGTAATATCAAGATCTCTTGCACACTAACGCCAACTGAGAATGTGAATGGAAACTATAGGCACATCTATCTTTCTGACTTTTCTGCACAGCTGGTATACATGTGATGTGTGTCCTGTAGATATATCGCTGTATAATGCGTGTCCAATGTGTCACTCGAAGTCTCATGATAAGCGCAAACCGGGAGATGTGTTTCGTCTTGAGTGTTGCATCATTCTAAATTTTTATTAGTCCATCGAGACTATTCATGCTTAATATCAGTATTTGTTCCCTGCATTTTGAATATTTTGTTGCCTTATACAATTACTTTATAGCCAGATCATAACGGAGGTAGTCGCGAGTGCCAATTAAAAAAATAAAAAGAAATGTCCAATGTGTCCATGCTATAATCAGAAATTTTAGATTATAAATATCTATAATTATTTTTTTATATTTATATTTATGTATTTATTTTTATAGTTTGCTCAGTAATTATTCAGAAGACCCTACTTGGTTCTCAATTTTTGTAGTTAACGTGTTTGGTGTAAATTACATACAGTTATTACATATAGTTACACAATGTTTTCAAACAAACAGATTACCACATTTGTCTATGACATAAAAGATTTTAATTTTATTGTTAAATCATGTGAGGAAAATGAATCTTCATTTGATAATATTTTGCGGCAAACGTGGAAACAAGCTGAACAAATTAAAATATTCCGATATATTTTAAATATAAAAGATAGTAAAATATTGAAGGGAAAATACAAATTTTTAGCACAGGTATACTTATTGTTATGTAAAAAGAATGTATGTTTTATATCTAACGCATAATGCAATGGCAATTTCAGTTAAATCCAGATAGAGCTCAATACAAACGTGCTCCAGAATCAATCACGTCTACGGTACAATCTTTTAGCTCTACACGTTTTAATTTCACTAAACTAACACAGCAAGAGATATTATTTGATATAGGAAATGGCGACACAAATGACATAATTGCAATTAATTCCAGTCCTTTGGAACAGTGTCATTGTTTATTTCTTGCAGAACGTTTAAAATGTTTGCCACAAATCATGACAGAATATAGTCTTTGCAAAATAATAGAATTATGTCTGTTAAGTAATTCATGGTAATCATTGTTGTATTAGAAATTTTTACTTAAAATGACAAAATAATATATCATTTTTTTTGTTTTAGGTCTTTAAGGGCTTTTTTTAACGGTTTGTGTGCTCTTTCCTCTGTTAATCATTTACACTGGCATTTATATTATTTGAAATATGAGATGCTTCTTGAATATATCGTAAGTAATATTATATTCAATCAATTATGAGTGAATGAATGAAGATATGTATATAAGAGAGAGAGAGAGACTTTTAAATATTTGCAAAATATTATCGACATTTATTTTGTTTTAGGATATTTGCAGTTATGTATCTGGTGTACACTTGTTGATAGAGTATCCAGCAAAAGGATTCTGTCTCAAATTATCTGATTTTAAAAATATTGAAGATTTTGCATCTCGTGCATTCGTTGTAGTGAATTATTTACAATTACGTCAAATGGCACATAATGTATATATTACACGAGCAAAATCACAATCTAATGATGAATTGTATAATGATGTACGTATTTATATTTGGGTTCGAAAACCATTCACTGGTGTAAAAGACATAACTGCAATTTTACCTGGAGTTTGCGAACTCTTTGGACATTTAACAACTAGTGGTAAGGATCTATATTTAATACAAAATTGTTCTTGTATAGAATATAATTATTATATCATATACACATGTATTTTAGATGAAACTGTATACAATAATTTGGCACAGGATGATATAATTAATCTTCTTCACGATATTACGGAAGAGTGTTTTTTATTAATCAAAGATGAGCTTAAAAATGTTTTGGAAAAATAAATAGGAACTATATATAACGTGATAAGAATTTCTGGACAAATATATTTATATGACTATATTTATATTGTTTTCTGTGTTGATTTTTAAGTTAAATAACAATAAAATTTCTATTCGTACATTCCATATCTTTTAATTACATTATTGTATTTTTAATTTTTAATTCAGCTAAATAATAAATAAGTTAACGCTGCGATTGGCTGCAATATGCGGTGACAAAGCAAATATGTAGCACTTGTAAATATCGGCCTAAAGTATTAGACGGACATTGAAATTAACCAATCAGGAGAAAGAAAACCAATATCAAAATTAGTAAACTTTGTTTTGATTGGTCAAATTCAATTCTAGTCTGATTCAGGCTTCAGATGTTACACTTTCATGTGTAACAGCCATTACGTAAAATGGTGCAAGCAATTGAATATTGAATTCGATATATATGCAGCATGGAGCAATATGGTTTCTCTAAATTAGTTTCGTGATTGGTTACCTACGCTATAATAATATGTGAATAATTACCCACGGCCATTTTGTGCCGCTTATACTATTGGAGAGATCGTAAGTTTTGATGTCGAACTTGTCTAATTTGGGACGCTGAGCAATGTTTTTCCGAGTGTCGCACGTACGATTGTTTATCCGCCATTTTGTTCTGCTATCGTACGCGCAGTTTTCGGTAGCATTGTAGTCTATTTTAGGATGAATACACGCTACTGAAGCGAATTGGATCGTGCATCATTACTACTTTATCAATCTCCCGTACATTTGCGGAAAGTAATCGTCGCTCGAAGAATGTGAGAAATCCAATTTCTCAGGATGTACCTGTGATGGCAACCCGTGACAAGTTACATCTGACCCAACTTTCCTGACTTTTGAGGCCAAATGACGATTACTAAATAAAACGGACGATTTTCGCTTCGTTCGTCACGTAAGTCTGTCCAGGATATTTGCGGCATGTATGTACTAAGCGGCACCAAGTAATTAATATATCTTTTTGTTTGATGCTCATGAAACATCGAATGTGTTTGAGAGATCGCTCCATATATCATAACTCCATGAATGTTTTTTCAATTTTCTAAACCGTTATTCGATTACCGTTCCCTTTGGGAAGAAACGGTGTCATAAATAAATTCGTTAATCTTATTAATCTTATTGTATTATCCTTCGCGTTTGCTCCAATTAATTTTATTGTTTGTATTTAGCAGCTGTTGCATAGTCCTTTGGTTTGGTTATATTAATAATATGAGTTATGTATCGGCTGTGTATATTTCACATAAAATTATAGTATTAATTTATTCATCTCTCTCTGTTAATTTGATAGTAAACATAAATCACGTACTTATATACGATAGAATATAAATTTGTACATTTATATATTACTTAGAAAATATATTTGAGTAACCTTGTATACCAAGATACTTAAACATAATTTTGTTCTAACAGATTAAGTAATTGCAAAAAGAAACTTATATAACATAGCATTCAAGTGAATTCATTCTTTAACGATCAAAGAAACGCATTTTACTGTAACACTAGGCTACATGCGTTCAGAAATATCACTTAGACCACTTGACGCCTACTTGTGAAATCATTGTTTATCAAATGTTAAACAAAACCAAATTATGCTTGTGGAATGCCAAGTGGAAGATATTCCTGAATACTTTCATGTATTATTTTAATCTTATTCATTGAATATTGAACACTAAATATTAATAAAATGTAGTATTTCTGAACATATAACTCTGATTTTATATTTTTATGTAAAGTAAAAGAAATTATTGTATTAGATTAGATTAAATTTATTAGAATTAATTTTTATACAATCTTAGATTTAATTTTTTAATATTTTTTTTGTGATTCTCAGTTATGACTCACTTGCTGTTTCAATTAAAATAATTTAATATTATGAACTAATAATTCATAAGAATTTAAATACCATGTTAAACAGTTATTTATTTGATTGTTGAAAAGGTGTTATTTATATCTTACTTGTGATGATATATTCAGAATTAAAATCCTTTTTGATTCTAACATTCTTTTAATAATAATTAAATAAATAATACTTATGTAAATATATAAATATATAAATATATAGATAAATTGTGTATTATTAAATTGTGTATTGATGTAATTGATGGTCAAATTACGTTATCTATTATAATTAACGGTATACTTAATTTTGTTAAATTTTGTTAATTTTACTTATATAAAGATGATATATTTGATAATTTTTGTGTATTGTGTTGTAGAATGTCAGGGCAGAGTGGTGGACAACGAGTGTGTTTGACCAGACTTAATGAACACTTGACATGCAAATTATGTGGTGGATATTTTATCGATGCAACTACTATTATAGAATGTTTACACTCGTGTACAGTATTTTTCTACTATATCACATATAATGCTGTATATTCAAACTTTAACTAGTAGCTAGGTACTAAGATCTTTAATGATTTTTACAGTTTGCAAAAGTTGCATTGTTAAATATTTGGAGAATAACAAGTATTGTCCGATCTGCGAAGTACAGGTTCACAAAAGTAGGCCACTATTAAATATACGTCCTGACTATATATTACAGGATATTGTTTATAAACTGGTACCTGGATGTTATCAAAGTATGTTTTTTTTTTAAGAAAAGAATTTATTTTCTTATCGTACATATTATGTACGAGATGGTAACAATGATGAAAACATTGTTTCAGACGAAATGCGACGTCGGAGAGAATTTTATGCAAAACATCCAGAAGAATCTATTCAAACAATATCTTCTGAAGCTCGTGGAAAACCTATAGAATCATACATATATTCTCCGGATGAATCCCTCAGCTTGTCCCTGGAATACTCTGATCCTCATACAAAAAATTTAAGTGAGACGAATACTGACAAATCCATTTTAAGGCGATATTTTCGATGTCCTGCAGCAGTCACAATATTCCATTTACAAAAACTAATAAGAGCCAAATATGGCCTTGGTGATATAAATAGAGTTGATATAATGTACGAAGAGGAGCCATTATGCAGTAGTTATTCATTAATGGATGTGATGTATATCTATCATTGGATGCGGGTACGTATTTAATTAATTTAATATTGAATTCAATTACGATTTATGCATACATATTATTTATAGTAATATTGTGTATTGCAGAAAGTACCACTGCACTTAAGTTATAGAATATTTGAAACATCTTCAAAACGCCTGAAATTATCGGAAGACAATGCAAACTACAAAAAATCATTAATGGATGCTGATATTGATTCTATAGAAATAAAGGATGAGAAATCGTTAAAACGCGAATGGAAAGAGGTGCAATTAAAAATATCGGAAACAGGAGTAATGAGTATAACCGATATATCGAATACAGTACATAAAAGAGACATCGAGACTTTACAAGATGAGAAAATTTCAGAGGAGACTATAGCCTCCATTGCGGAAATTAATAAAGCAGATTCGGTGATAGAAACTTGTGGTATTCCTAAATCTGTAGAAATAATGCAATCTACTTTAATCATTGATCCAGAATTAACGAAAAATCCAATATTTTCTGATCCGAACGATGCATTCCTTGTTACGAATGACGTTAAGTTTCCAAACGAGAATTTATCGACTAAGAATTGTATGCCACTAACAACCAATCAGCACAATGGAACTGCTACAAAGCAGGCAAATGAAACAAGAAATTGTACCGATTCTGCAAAATCGCAACAAGATGCACAAGAAGTAAAAATCCAAAATCAAACTGTTAATGTCGAAGACAAATCTGAGACAGTTTCACAAGAGCAAAAGACTATTGATCAATCGGCAACACAATTTACAGAGAAGAAAGTAGTTGAAATTAAAGATAAAGAAAAGATAGACGCACATGCGGAAAAGATGTCAATAAATAATAACAACAATAGTGCGGATTTTCAGACTGAATCTCAGAAGGAATGCATTAAAAATTTAAGTGAAGCGAAAATTGTAAGTGCTGGATCAAAAATTGACGCATTGAGCGCGAAATTACAATTTCAACCAAAAGTAGGTCAAGTTAATAACACTTATTCCAAGAAAGCACCGAAGGAAAAACGAGCGATGCTGCAGCAAGGTACGAAAAAATCCGATGTAAAATCGTCAACCGAAGATACAAAACTTACTGATGTGAAAGCGCAAACAAATTGTGAGAATGTAACGAGCAAAGTATCAGTTTCGGTGGCAACTTCTTCACAAAAATCAGTTGTGTCTACTACGGTGGCATCTCAAAATATTTCAGATTCCTTGTCAGTATCTGATAAACAAAAAGTTCTTGACGAGAAGAATAATCAAAGTATAAGTATTGATTTGCAACAGGCTTTGAATTTGTTGGAACAGAGAAATTCGCCTATACTAGCATCGTCAGAGTCTGCTCCGAAAACGAGTCACACCGCCGGTATGATCAATCAAAGATTATCGAACAATATAGTCACGATGAATGAGGATATTGTGTCTACTGAATCAAACGTTTCTACAGCCGCAATTAGTCAGACAACATCAACGTTTCCTTACGTTTCACTTCATGACATCGTAACTAACTCAGCCGTCCTAAAATCAGCATTAAAGAATTCCAGTAGCATATCTCAGAAATCGTTAGGAACATCGCCCATTGCTTGTTCAACATCCAACAACCAAATATCGCCGATGCCTCAATTCAACATGCAAACGTCACCCATGAATATGTATTCTATACCTACGTCGCTGAAGAATAACTACAGTAACATAAGTCAAAATGTAACTACTGTAACGGCTGTATCCACAGCAACGATCACTACGACGGCGATGTCAAAACCAATATCGACCGGTGCGTGTCCAATACCTCCATGTCCGGATGCAATCCCTATATCTCTGATGAAACAAATATCCATGCGTAAGCAGGACGTGGCTGCAAAGGGTACCAATCTAAATGAAATTTGCGCAAAAATCGGTTCCAATACGATCGGCTCGAAGATCAATGATATCTGTGCAAAGATAGGAGAAAATTCAAAGGAGAAGAACAGAGTAGATACGCATAGTAAGTCGGAAGTACCAGATCTGCTTAGAATAAGCGCGAAGAAGAATTCTTTGCCATTATTACCCAAATCAGATACAGCATTGAAGCATATACCGAATATCCCGAATGTACCAGTGTACACTCCAAGTAGCAATGCGACAATGGAGAATAAAAACATCAAGCCTGCCTTACCTACGTCTACATCTGCCAATATGCTGGGGGTGTCAACGTCTTCAGTACCGGCATCGTCTCACGCAAACCAGAAATTAGCGCCTCTCAAGAAGCAAAACCAATCGATTGGATACAAAACGTTGCGCGATCCACCTAAGTCTTGGAACCCTACATTGTCGAAAAATAATTACGTAGCGGCAAAGAATCAGGCGAAGGAGATGCAAAATCAAACTCAGACTTCTATGTCCGAGAGTACAAACAAGCAGATCCCATCTAAACCGGCTAAGATCTTCAAAATGCGAAACATGCCACGATACTTGGGTAATCCCGCATCAGGTGTGAAGCCCATGTATGGGGTCGTAAGCGACACGAAGGAGAAAGATCAATCAACAACCAACACGAAGGGTGCTACTCTCAATATGATGAAGATCGATCCTAAGACATTGTCACCCATCGTCTCCACGATTAATTCACCGATCGTTTCACCACCACTTTATTCGCCGAACGCTCGAAGCTATCAGAATACTCCGTTCTCACGGGATATATGTCGAAATACTGGCTCGCCTATATCGCCAAGAAATTCTCCGGTAAATATGTTGTCGACCAATCCATTCATACCATCTCCCACGCCCAACACTAATCCTCGAATCATATATTCTCACTTTCCGTCTCCGTTCCCAGACGCAAGCCGATTTCCGAATCCTTTGATACGATCGCCCTATCAGCGATCGAGTTATATACCGCAGACTACTGGTTACGTGCCAGTGGTTGGCCAACCGCCGACGGTACAGAGAATACCACCCAGCACGCATTCATCCTCGCCAAAGTCGCCCAAAGCCTCGTCACCGAGTTCGATCTCGTCTACATTCAACCTTGGGAAGGCGGAATCGCAGTCGTCGATCACATCAACAGTAGACAATGTCGCGCTACTTCTCTCTAAGAATGTAGCCGTACCAGTATCTGTGTCATTGCAACGAGAACTTAACGCGTTCAATCTATCCAAAACTGGCGGTTTGTCCCCAAGTCCGACGTCCAACGTTGCTAAAACATCGTCCACGAATGATGCCAACGTTGAGACGCAGCTCGCTAAACCAAATTCTTCTTCGCTTAATTTGATGGCGGTTACGGCAAACGCCGAAGTACCCGAGAAATCGAACTTGCCAAGCAATGCTAATGAACGAAAACAAGGTAAAGAAACGGAGGCGCGAAAAGTGCAGGAAACCGCACGATATAAAGAAGACAGCTCCAAGGCGAAACTTACGGAAACGAAATGCAGTGTAGAAGTTGTTGACAACGTTGCGAGCCTGCACGACAAAAAGGAAAAAAATCAAGCGGCCAAAATCAACGGCGATGTTACAATAGAACAGTTCGCAAATAAGAAATCTAAGGAAGCTGATAGTAACGACGAGAAGAAGACGACAGCAGAGACGAGCGAGCGAGATGGCCAAGTAGAACGGTCTTCGCCCAAAGAACGGAATAGTATTCCGAAGATTAACACACAAGCCAATATCAATGACTCGTCAGCAGACGGTTCCAAGAACGAAGATCTCAGCAAGAGCGGTGAGCAGATACAGGGTAATAAATCTGAAGTACAAAAAAATAAGGCAGAAACGTGATCGAGAGAGGATTAATCGTCTTTAGATGCGAGTCGTAAAAATCTTGCTACGCGTATCAATTGCATTTAATTCAAGATGGCGTGGCTTAAGTGTAAGATCAATCCTAAACAAGCTTATACACAGCCCATATTCTGATGTTTACTGCCAGTAATTCTAATGTTTCCAACCGCATGATTGAATATGTGTGTGCGTGTGTGTACATATATATATATATATATATATATATATATATATATATATATACACACATATTTGAATATTTATAAAAATCGCACTTGACATCTGCACGCGTTATGAAGAAAACATCGGAAAATAAGCTTGTTACAAGCTGAATGAGAAGTTTTTACAACATGCCCATCGTGTAAGCAGCAAAAAAAGCACTTATGATCATTGTTGAAGATTTCAAGAGTGTTAAGAATTTGTACATTTTTGTAAATAGCAATTGTGAAAGATTTAATTATTTTTTATTATAAATGAGTTATATGACACTACGTTGAATATATTATTTTATAGGTATACGTTGGATGAGATATATATAATTATGATCGTCTGAATTTTCATATGCATATCCAACACCGTTATTAACGTCAACGACGTTAATGATGTTAACTCTCCGTTGTTATTATACTTGCATACATGTACAGATATCTATACACGGCGTATCCCACTTCAATTGTATATATATGTCTTTCCTTTTAGTTATTATACATTATTCATTTCAAATGGTTTCTAAATCGATTTCTATTTAACAAACGTGACTCTTCATTACTTACTTGACTCTTTCTCATTACAATCTCTAACAATTTTCTAATGTATATTTCTTATTAAATGTCGTATGATGAAATTTTATTAAACGGTATTTTATCAAAATGTATGTAAAATTATTTCTATAAAGAAGTTTCTGTATAAAAAAGAAATGATGTGTCTCGAGTAGCGGAAAAAAGTAATATATTTCAAGTGGGAGGCAGTCTCTATGTCATATTTTTCTTCGTTACACACATTTTATATATATTGCAATATATAATGAAGCATATATTTTTCACGGATATGGATACAAGTTGTGCACTAAACACTTGGAAAACAGGTTTACCATTAAAGTTATATATTAGGTGTAGTAAAAAGAAATCCATTATTTTTCCAATAGATGACTTTAGTAATCTGTATCTTGTCTACGCGTGATACAGATTACTAAAGCTATCTATTGGAAAAATAATGGATTTCTTTTTATTACACCTAATATTTAAATCAACTATATGATTTGTATCTCTCTTAGTGCATATGCTTGCTGTTAATTTGTTAATAGTATAATGTATAACACATTAAATGTCTTAATGACATATAATATGCGTTCTCGTGCATATTAAATGGATGCAAAGTTATTCCTTAGTATTAAGTAACTAAAAATGTCACGATCACTTTTTCGAGAAATGTAATTATGGAAAAACGTGTTTATGAAACGTGTGAACACATAATTCTTTGCAGTAGAAGAGAGTACCCATACAATGAGCACACAAATATGTGTATAAAAGAAGTATTAAGTATATAGTTAAGGTAATTAAATTAATAATAATGTTACCTAAATTTAAATTATACATTTTTATATCACATAAGGTTGATAACAAAAATTTATATAGTCCGCAGCATTGAATATTTTTGAAAAATCCTTCATTTATATTAAAAAGATGTATGCGATTATGTGATGCAATAATGTTTCCGTGAAAAAACTTTATTTTTAATTTTAATATTTTTACGCACTTATACATACATTTTCGATTAATATTTTTTTAAGATAATATGCTTTTGTATAACATTAATATATATTTGATGCATGTGTATTTATCACATTAGATATCAGTTAAAATATGTAAAAATAAAATTGGATTTAAATGTAATTTTGTACACTCGAGAGCCAAAATACTATTTTGTTCTGATATGAAGAATTAAATTGCATTTGCACTAAGCTTTCTTCTCAGTGGCTGACCGTCTGATCAATTGCTGGAAAAAGACGAGATTTGTAGAAAAAAAACTTAGTGTAACGGCATTTTTATTCACTCGTAGGTCTATTCTTTTTAACTGAACTTGCACTTGTTTATCTCTTTTCTTTTTTTTTTCATGTAAAAAGAAAAATAGGAAAGATAAACTCCAAGAAATTCAACTAAAAAGAATAAGCCTTACATCTGAATAGCATTTTTGTTCTTCACTCACTTGGTAATTTATGAAGATAGTAATTAAAAAAATTGAAAAAAATTCGGTCTAAAATAATTATTCATATTATCAAAGTTACATAAAATCTCATCAGAGTATTCAAAATTGTTTCTACATTTAATATAATTAAATTTTAAATTTTTTACTTTGAAACCAGTCTAATATCGAAACAAAAACAACATAATTTCGAGGGTAATTTTGAAAATATTCACTGCTGATGATAGTGAAATGTCCGAGGCCTTATCCTATCATATATCGAATAATTAATATGGAACAATAAAAATGATAAACTGTATGCGATATAAGTACGACAAAAAAATTAGTTGACAATTAAACACTGTGATCATTACGTTACTTTATCTTAGAGATGGAGAAAATATTTTAACAAAGCAAAATTATTAGTCGTAAAGTATATTTTTCTTTCTGTCTTTTCACTTCCCATTTGTCCACTTTCTTCGTTTTATGTCTGTACTTTTCAAGCTTTCTCTATTGTTTTCTTTCTCAACTCTATATTTATCTATATCCATATATATTTTCATTTTTTAATATATTTATGCGTTTTGTTGTCCGTTTATAAGATCCGTGCGTATTGATGAAAGAGTAAACGAGCATAATTTAAGAAAAGCATCAACAAAGTGAAAAAGTTTGCTAAATAATTTTAATGATTGGAAATCAATTTGTCTTAGATATGCAAAATTTTATTTGTATATAATGTACTATGATTATAAAATATATATTACATATAGTAATAGAAAAAGAATTATTAATTAACACAACTATATTTAATTATATAAAGGGATAAACCGTATATTATAATCATATTTTTCCGTTTTACAAAAACAAAATTTTAGGTAAACACTGGGCTGCAAAATAAAAGATGTATTATATTTTTACGTAATTTTTATATATGTGTATATGTGTATGCGTATACATGTATAAACATATGGAAAAAAAAACAATAGTGATTCTACATAGAATTCAAAGATTCTCTTCACTAATTATGCAAAAATATAATTGACTGCACTTACAGAAAACTGTATTATTTATATAAAACATTATCCTTATATACAAATTACTACAAGCAAAGTTAAAGGAATTTATAAACTGTACATTATAATCACTCAGTAGAAGTTTATATATTAGACATTTTTTCAATGTGTCTTATAGCATCCTTCAACTTGTATACCAACTCTTGTAGTTGTTGTATGGTACATGTAAATATTACATGTCTCACTTGATTACATTCTTTTGTACTTATTCGTATGTTATAAATTGGTACATTGGTAAATCGAGTGCTAATCTGCATTAAAGAACAAGATATTTAATTTTTATATATACAGATTAAATAATATAATTTACAAGAAATTATTTTCATATTGTTGAATTACGGGAGCTTTCCAACAGAGGTATAAATTGACACAAGAGTCATTTCATCATTCTTTGTTTCTTACTGAACAAGGACAGAATGACTCTCGTGTCAATTTATGTATCTGGAAAGCTCCTTACATTATGTGAGGTAACATAATCTACATAACATTACTAAAGAATAGTGAATTTACCTTAACACAATGATGCAAACGCCAATCTATGTCTACTATGTGAGGTAAACTATTTCCTGTTAATTCCAGCTGAGTTTGGATATTTTGTTTATTGTTTATATATGTACTACATAACGTTTCAATTCTATGCCCATTAATGTGTTCATTATGTAGAAAATGTTTTAAGCTTTCCTCATCGTAATCATGTCGAGCAGCCTCTATAAAAAGGCAGGATACATTAACAACTGCAGCCTTTATCAGATCTGACTTGGATGGATGAACAGTTGCGATACCTGATATAAAAGATAATTAATTATAAACATTTGTATCTCAAATATTCTTATATTTTCAGAAAAATTAAAACTTATTTACTTTTTCCATTGTTATTTTTAGAAATATATAACATTATAATATCTAATAACTGTAGAAATGCTTCTTCGGGCAAAATGTTGCTATTTTGGATGTTTGCCAAGCCATCGACAATTTCTTTTGCTAATTCCATCTCATAATATAATATCAATACACTTCTTAATATATATAAATAGAAATAAATATTTTAAAAATAACTGTTAACAAAAATAAGTTAATTTGCGCACATATACTTCAACAATCTCAAGTTTTTGAAAATCATAGTATTGATTATTAGTTTTTAATAATTTGTTGATAAATTTGCCTGAAATATGGACAAAAATTACGTTAGGCTTAAATATCTATTTAAATATCTATTTATGTAGTTTTATATAAACATTTCATACTTGACATTTATAAATAATATAAGAAATGTTGAAATTTTTTGTTCTTATTTTGATACTGAACTATGCGAGAACTATTTTTTATGTAAAAATATCAAAACATATAATATCTGTCTTTTTCGGAAATATTTAAATTAAATACCTTTAAACAATTTTAATTATTATCACTTATCTGATACAAAATTTCTTACTAATCTCCACCATAGAGGTTAGTATAGGTTAGCAGGCGAAATTGAGACTATAGAGACACCATTCGGAATTATTGTGAATTACAGACCTGTATTTTTTTTATCACAGCAAAAATATTAAAAAATGTAATATTATAATAACATTTATAATTAACAATTTTTAAGAATTTTTAAGATTATTTATAAAAAAATGTCAAAATAAAAATTTGTTAAAGTTATATTGTGTTACAATTAAAGGGCGTAAAAGACATTTTTGTTTATTACAAATGTTTAAGAGTCAAAATGCAAAATTCTGCTTACAAGCCTTAATAATAATACAAATAAATAAAAAAATTTTCTAAAAAAATATCTCCCTAAAAAAATAAAACGAATGTCATTTTTTTCTATTTAAATTTAAAAGGTAATCTATAAAATATAAATTTCTCTAATGATAATAAATGTAATCTAATAACTACAGTTTTAAAATTTGCAGAGAATATAAATAGTTTACAAAAAGAGTAAAAAAAGCTTTCATTAAAATATACTTTAATGAAAAGAAGAACACATAATGCTATGTAGATAACATTTTATTAGAGTAGAAATCAAATTTCCAAAACTGATCTGGTGCATCAGTGCAGCGAGCTGCTCGTACATCTTTATCACTGTGCAATTTAGAACCATCGAGACAAAAACCAGTTTCTACATGTATTATTCTGCCATCCTATGATTAAAAATCGTGATAATATAATACATTTTGTAATCTTTCATGAATTATATAAAAATGTCTGTTAATATTAAAAATTAATATGACACCTTTGTTATTATCCATTCCTTTCCACCTTTCTCATTGCTGCAGTCAGACATTTCAATTTGTGCATACGGTCCTGAATCAGTATCCAATATTCTTCCACATGTCTCTTCTCTCCGTAATTCACCAGACTTGCTCAATGAGAAAAACTAAAAATTGCCCAAATACAATTAATTTCTTTAAATTTAAATTTGAATAGAATTACGTTAATGTGATCTGTAGTGGTATTTACATACCTGACTTGGATATAGCTTAGTATGACAATTATATAAACCTAAATTATACGGTTTATCATCATCATGTTGCAGATTGTCTAAACACAATCGTCTATTGCGCAATCTGACACGACCATAAGCTATTGCATTTTCATCAGGGATAAATTTTTCTGGATAAACATTATTAAGATACCACTTAAAACTTTTACACTTGAGCTTTTTCCGTAATTTCAAACGTTCACTTATATCACCAATGAGTTCTGGATTGTCCTGTGGATTTTATTTATTTGTATAATTACAAAAGGATATTAATTACATGTCTGATCTTACCTTGAATTCACTACGATGAAGTAAAAATAATCTTTTATATTCATCCATCCATACAAATGCTAAACGGGCAGTATTTATTCCGTGAGTATCTTTATCGTTTGGAAATTTATATGGATGAAAGTTTCGAAATATATGGCCAACCCGAGAGCAAGGAATTATTTCTAATGTACCACCGCATTGCCAAATCTATTGAAGAATATCAATTTATATCAGGAATATAAAATATAAAATTTTTGACATACATGCTTACAATTACATTACAAGCTTATTAATAAACATACTCAAAAAAAATTTCACTCACTCGGAAAGATATTTCCAAGTTTTCGCCTCCCCAACCATCCATCTTATCGTCGTAACTACCGATTTCCCAAAAGTATTTTCTATTAATAGCAAATAGACCGCCTGCCATAGTAGGAGATCTAGTTGGTGATATAGGAGAGAAACGCGATTCAACTTCATGTTTCTGAATAGTTATCCACGTGAAATGTCCCGACCATGTAAAACCACCAACTTGAAAAAAAAATGCTTCATTATCGTGGAAGTATTCTAATGTCTCCTCAGAAATGTTATCAATTATTGGCATTAGTACAGCATTTTTATTATCCTTTATTCGTTGTAGCAAAGGCTGTAACCTGCATTATGTTAAATAGTATGTATAATATGTATTAATAAAATTTTCTCTTATTTTAATAATTTTAGGATATAAAAAAGATATAGGAAAAAATGTCTTCTAGTTAAATTGATATCAGAAAATTACCAGTCTTTAATAACTTCACAATGTGCGTCCAGGAAGACAAGAACATCGCCTACAGCATTTTTAGCTCCATGAAGACGAGCCCGTATCAATCCTTGTCTATATGGTAATCTCAGTAGCTTTACTTTGGCAGGTAAACGTGTCGAAAGATAATAATCCAATTGCCCCTGAAGCTCTTCTACAAATTAACACACACAAAAAATACATTGTACATATAACATTAATTATGTAACCTATTGCATTCCAATAATATTATTATAGATTACATCATTTTATTATGTAATAATTTATATAAAGATTTTTTTATACAAAAAGTATTTCGCGGGCATTATTATTAGACTTAAAATGATGTGACACACAACTTATCTGGCAAATATATAATATATTTTTGAAAACTATTAATATGTTAATTTATATATTAATCATATTAATATTAATTTCAATACCTTCTTCACTATGATCATCCACTAAAATAATTTCTTTTAATAAGTTAGGTGGAGAACCCTTCAAAACACTATGTACTGTGCGTAATAGAACACTCCAAGGTTCATTATAAAAAATAATTATTATACTAGCACTTGGTAATAATTTGTCATATGTAACATTCGCACAACTGCAATGTAAAGTTCACTTAAAAATACAAAACTTAAAAATACAATATTTTTCGAAAAATATTTTATATATACATTTACATATAATTTATATATTTATATAAAAACGATCTTTTCGAAAATGCGCTATTCTATACATATTAAAATCTTACAGCGGGTTGCGTACATCTGGTAATTTTCTGGTTAATGATATCTTATTTGAGAGAATGACATTCAATGCTTTTTTTGCAAGTGCTGCTTCACCTAGAATCTTCTCTCTTCCATATAAATAAGCAGGTTCTCCATTGTTCCCAAGATCAGGTACAATATCATGTTCAAATTTTGATATTTGTTGCTCATACCTTATAAAATATCATTTTGATCTAATATCACATTAGACAAAATATTGTTATTTTAACAATTATTTTATTAGTATTACATCAGACTAGTATATTTTGATTAAGTAAAAAACAAAGAAAGATAACTATGTAAGATTTGTGAATAAATAAATTAAATTTAAATTATTAGAGAAAGTAGCATCAAACAAATTTACCTCTCTTTCTGTAACCTCTGTATCGCAACGTCCACATCTTTCTGTGTCTGTGAGTTATTGCTACTTTTTAGATATCCAGATTCTTTAGAAATCCTGGAGTTGTCATTGGTACGAAAAAATTGTTTAGCAATGATTAAAATGCCGATTATGTATAACGTGCAAAATGACAGTTTCAGCAAAAACTTGCGGCGAGTAAGCATCATTTTTTTCAAAAGTATACCATCCTGACAATTATCAGATAATTGACATGCTGTTGATAAGGATGTTACCGTTAGGTTATGGTGGAGCAACACTTGTCAGTCGTGAGAGGTATCACCCGTTATATATTTCATTCATATCACGTGCACATCTGCAACAGGTGAATTAAAGTTCAGAATTAAAACATTACGATCCATATGCACATTTGAAAACTTGTATTAATGCAATAATAACGTTACATATGTTGTGTAATGCAATGTACTAGATATGCTTGCTTGTTACAAACATAAGAAAAAGAACGAAAGAGGAAAAGGTTAAATTTAAATATGTATCAGTGTCCGTAATAGAACTGCTCCAACCGGTTATACATTTAATATATATGTATCTATCTAACGCTCTCTTCCTCTCCTTCTTTTATAAGGTTACAGAATAAACATATGAAGTGGGTGATATCAATTATCAGATAGCCAAATCTGTCGAAAACAGATTTTGCAAAGTGACTGCTGCAAATCTTATCAGTACAGCAAGCCAAGTATAACAAAATCTGCTGAAAAAAAATATAATAGCATTGTAAAAATCGAGCAGAGTTTATGCCATTTTATATGTTTAAATAATGTAGCCTAATAAATGAAATTATAAAACGAATTTCTATTGACAATCTTTTGTATGTATCAAAATATTACAGGCAAACTCTACGGGCTTAATTATAAATTGGTATTAATTTGCCCCAATATTCTTCTACTCATATCTGTTGATCAACTACAAGCATGCCTTACTAAAAATCTAAATAAAATTTTCTTGCTCTTTTACATTGCAAAGATTTTGTAATTTTGTAATTAAAAATATATACATAAAATTAATATCTTTATATTTTATTGCACAAGAGTTTCGTAAAAAAAAAAATCCGATAGATTATCCACATGTATATACGAATAATTAAGTTGAATCTGTATACATATTTAATAACAATAAATGCATTAATACAAAAGCAAAAATACTATAATTATATCAAGTATTCCAATCACTGAATTGTCTTTTCAATGATAGTAGACTATTTGGTTGATCTAAAAAGTCGAGTTTTCCTCAGTACAAAAATGTTAAGGAAAAGATCATTATCTATCGTGACTCTTTCCAATCTTTTATATTACTTTAGTAATTAAATTTGAAATTCAAATTTAATTAAAAATAAATTTTACTTGAAATCAGTTAAAGAATTTCTTATCTAGTTAGTTCTCTCAAATTTAATTTGTAAAAGATCCTTTTAATTATTTATAATTCGAAAATCATTGACATTTTAATATTTTCGGCACGGAAAAATCGATACTAGTTCGAGGAATCTATTATGAAAATAATATCTACAATGATTATGTAAGGATATCTTTATAAATAAATTACTCATCTAAGGAAAATGATAATTACAATATTCTAAATATAAAATTATTCTATTAATTACATTTTTTCCAATTTATTACCAAGATTAATATTGAGATATTAGAAGAGACATTGTCTCCTGTACATAATATTAACAGTCCCGTCTCCCCTAATAGAAACTTTACAAATACTATATCATGCAAAACGTACACAAATAAAACGAAAATAAAAGCGAGGATCTTCTAAATCAAGGATCTCTGGAATTAGCAGATCTCCTTGTATCATGCATTTTTTTCTTTCTTGTAGAAGAGAAAAATTTTTCAATATCGGAAAATGATTTGCCCAAAGTTTCAGGCAGAAAAAAGTATATAAAAGCTGCGCCTATTAAAGATACGAAGCTAAAAAAGAAAAAAATGCTCTCAATGGTCATGCTTTTCAAAATGTATGGATAACTCTTTATAACAGCAAACATGATTATATAAGCAAAAGAAACCATGACACCTCCACCAATACCACGTATGGACACAGGTAACAATTCTCCGATCAATGTCCATGGTATAATTATAAATCCAAATGAACCAGTGCAAATATAAGCTAATACGAAGAATAGTAACAGCCACTTTTGATCCACCATGGTTTCCTCTGTATTACCATTTTCATCGTATGACACTGCAAAATGCATATACATTCCAGAAAGAAACATAGAAATAGCCATTCCAATCCCACTCAAGATGCAAAGGACTCTTCTACCATATTTTCTACTACAAAAAACTGTTACTATACTTATAACAAATCTAATGGTACCCAACATAACAAGTGCACCGTGTTCGTTAAAATTGCCAAATGTTCCACCCATTTCGCGAAAAACAGAAATAGCATAAAATATAATCACATAAGAACCAGATAGTTGTTGCAACAAAAATAGTAAGAAAAGTATCAGCATAGGCTTATAGGCTTCCGGAGATGCAAATGTGTGATAATAATTTTTTACAGATGCTATAATATTTTTTGACGCCTTATCATTCACTACACGATTTCCACAAGTCTCCATGATTCGCGAATATTCTTCCTCATAAATCTAGAAAACATTTATTTGTTGACATTCTGAAATATATTCCGAATAGATATTGCAAAACTTGCTATATCGTACTCACTGTTTGCCTTTTGTTAAGTTGCCTCAAACTGTGTTTCATTTTGCAAATTCGTTTTTCATCAAGCATACCATTTTGAAAACATACGAGCCAGTAGGGACTTTCAGGTACAAAGTAAAGTATAAAGAAAATAAAACACTCTAATACAAAGAAAATTATGTTCATCTTGCGCCAATCTAGCATTACAGCTAAACAACAGGGAATTAAAATACCAAACGACACAAATACAGAAGTAAGGCAGAGAAGCATTGATCTGATTTGTGGATGTGTAATTTCCGATATATAAACCAGACCAACAGTTGTTAAACCTGCTGAGATTCCAGCTACAACTCGAGCCGCATAAATAGTAATTAAGGATTTGGCAAATATCAATGAAACCCATGCTATTGCTGCAGGAACACAAGATAATAAACAAACTATTTTGCGTCCAAATTTATCCATTAGAGGCCCAGCAATGAGAGATCCTATTGGCAATGTTATTGTAACTAGACTCGCTGTAGAACAAAATAAATGTAAAATAACACATAATATTACTACCATTCTAATTTTCTATCTAATATCAAAGCACTACTAATAGCAATTCTAGTTTCTTTTCTACTAAACAATCTATGGTATACTCTTTAAGCACAAATATAAAATTTTATCATAACACGTACCTATCCAAGATGCTTCACTTTCAGTTACTTTCATATCAACATTATCTGATTCTAAACCATCTAATAAAATAGTACTATAAGCCATGTTTATACCACTCTTTATGGTCATACAATGAATTATACAGCTTGCAATAATCTAAAAGATATATAATTATTTATTTTAGTCAATCATCTTGTATCATAATTATTTATAGTATTTATAAATTATCTATAAGTATATTATATTTATAAAATTGCTGTATCTGTATATATGCATGTATGTGTGTGTGTGTGTGTGTGTGTGTGTGTGTGTGTGTGTGTGTGTGTGCGCGCGCGCGCGCGTGTGTAAAATATTGAAAACTTGCCTGTGGCGTTACATCTGCCATTGTAATTTTCTTTTCCGAGTTTCTATTGGTAATTCGTGGAAGAAAATTACTACAAAAAATTGAAATTTCCTATTATTCTTAACACAAATTTTTGAATTGTACCTATAATAAGAAATATTAATATGTACTTATATTACAAAATTCCATTTACTTTACCTGACTTCATTGTGAAGTTTCTTATCATGTTCTATAACTGTGTGTGTCCTTCCTTCAATAATTTTTTCTATTTTGTTCATTTCAAATAATAATAATAATATAAAAACTGACTAAAATATTTCTGAAATATAAAAATAAGTAGTAAAATGATAAAACACGGTACAAATTCATTAGTAGATTTAAAATAAAATTTTAAAAGCTGTAAAAATGTAAATACAAATGACATTGTTAAATGTTCAGAAAATAATTATAATATTAGTATATATTGAAATTGTGATTAAAATTATCCAATTAAATTAATATATATTAAATTAATATAAATTAGTATATCTTAGATTATTTTTAGTTTCTCTGAATGGTTATATACATCAATACAATAAAATTTTTAAATTTTTACTAACAGAATATATAATTATGAACATATATTTGCATACATTAAATAAATTATACGATAGCCATACTAACGAAGATAAACATAAAATAATGATTAATTCTAATTGATTTCGATATTATTATAATACAAAAGAACTTATACTTATTTATGATAATATTTATCATCAAAAATATAAAAAATATAAAAAAATCTTCATAAATATAGTAGCATGTTTATCGATACTTATATTGTATACCGAATTTTGGCCGATTTCATACACAAGCAATTTCCTTCGTTTTAGATTGTCTTTGAACTCTCTAAGATAGGAGAATTTTTCTTTACTCACTATTTAAGTTGTCATGTGATCATATTAAAATGACAAAACCAAATAAGTCATAATCTACACTTCCAAATAAACTATTCGTACTGGCAAAAAAAATCTGAAAGATCATGTCAATTTTTTTTGTAGAAACTAACTCTCGCACACTAACGCCGACTGAAAAAAAGTGTATGGAACGTAAACTACATAGCAAGATTTATACTTATCAACTGATACAACGCATTTTAATTGGTGTACGCAGTGTGCGATAATAATAATAATAATAATAATAATAATAATAATGTGTCGATAACAGAAAAAATACCATCATAACGACATATATGAATAATATATATATACATTCTTATTTATAAAAATCTATATATAATAATAAATAATAAATTTAAAATACTAGGATATTGGCAATTCGAAAATTTATATCAATAGTAGATAATATCAATCACTGGATATCAACGCAGTTACGCATGCGCGAAATGATCTTAATTCTACCATGGCATGCGTCCCATTTAACGCTCACCCTTGTGGAATCATTTCATCTTTGTCGTTTATTGAATATTGAACAAGGACAAACGATGCTCGCGAGCGTGCAAGCATTATGTGGAATTCAGTCTATTATATATATATATATATATACATATACATTCTACATATATGACATATCAGCGGATTATCAGTGAACATATCTGTCAAAAGGGGAGGATTATTTAGTACCATAAGGGAAACTGTATATTCTACAATATTTTTGTTTTAATTATTAGTTAAATGTAACGTGTGATCTCGAGTTATATATAAAATTCGTATGAAAATGCGAACCACATAAAACGTAAACGATCTCATACAAGACCAATAAAAATATTATTGTCCTTGTTAGCTCTGCAAGTAACATAATGTGTAACAAAACAAGGAAACAAGCGAATTACTTTTGTGTTTATTTATATTTTACAAAATTATAGCAAACGAGAAATCTCAGTATTGTTTAAGTAAGAAAGATTCTACTGATCAATATGAATTAAGTGATGGCACCTGCAAAAGATAAATGGATTAGACGTTTTATAATTACTGAAACAAAGCGGCACAAGAAAGGCTTTACAATCTACAAAGTTACTTCTATGGTATGTATATATATATATATATATATATATATATATATATATAATGGAAATGGCACCGTAAGGTGCATTTAGATATTTCTGAAATCCTCTCATGAAGAAGTGTCAAAAATATCTGTATGGAAGCGTTATAATGATTTCAAAAAGCTTCATGCAGAACTCAGTCACTTACACAAGCGTTTTGGAACGAAAGAAAGTTTCCCACCTTTTCCCAAATCAAAATATTTTGGCAGATTTGAAGCTGAGGTCGTAGAGGAGAGGAAGAAATATGCTCTTAAGTTTTTGGAATTTGTAGGACGATACTCGTACTTATACTCAAGCGATATCTTTATAACATTCTTTGAAACTAGTCATGCAGATAATTATAGTAATGATTGCGCACATTCCTTAAGCTCAGATACATCTGAAGATGATCGTGTTGTTACTTTAAGTGATTCTGTGCTTATAAATGATAATACAGTGCAAAGTACCTTTGAAATTCCATGTTCATTGAAAGCATCTCATAATGTATTAACAAATCCGTGTTCTTCTTTGTCAAATGTTATTTGTGCAAACAAAAATGAATTTGCATATCGGAGGAAGAATGAATCTCACGACAGTATTAATTTACAGAATGCTAATGTTAATAGAAAAGAAAGCTGTAAAACAGCAAAATTGCATACGCAAGATATTATTACTAAACAGTATAATGCACATCAAAACAAAAGTTTTGATAAAAATGACATGGCAACACTCAACGATGTATCAGAATTTGATAGTCTGAACAACAATATCAGTAAACGCTTTTTAAATTATGATACACATTCTACATATTCTGTAATAATACAAGAGGACATAAATGATCAGACACAACCAGATTCTACACAGTATCTCTTGATAGCAGCTGCTCACATAAGTGCAGCTTTCAAACATGAATCTATAGCCGAGTACGAGGAAGCTTTTATACAATACAAACTGGGAATATCATGTCTAATAAACGGTGTACAATTTGATCCAGATAGTACAAGAGTACCAGGCATAAAAGATAAGATATCAAAGTATTTAGCACGAGCTGAACAATTATATAACGAACATTTAAATTGTAACATCTCCAAAATAAATAAACCAATATCTGAGCTTCAATATTATAAAGTGCTTAAAATAATGAAATCCGTGATGCTCGTAATGGATATACGTGCAAATTGTAAAAGAATAATCAAGGTGATTTAATTGTCATATATAATTTATATATAAATTTTATTTTTTATTACATAAAGGCATTAATATAAATTTGAAATATAATAAATATTTGGAATATATTAATA